CCTTGTTCTTCGCCAGTTCTTTCATTGCAGCTTTGACTTCTTCCTTCATTACCATTGGTTCTAGATAATATGCCACTTCCTGAAATGGATGAAGATTGAGCAGTTCTTTCTGGTACAGTGACTCATAGAGAAAATATTCAGGACTCAATTGAAAATCACTCATGTTACCAAGAACTGGTCAAATTTCCACTTGAACAAGAAAAGACAATCCACAGAAGTGAACATCAAGATGACACAGATGTTAGATAACACAGATGTTAGAATTACCTGGCAAAGACTTTAGATCATAAAAATGCTTAAGTCAGCAATTACAAACAAGCTTAAAACAAATAAAAAATTAGAAAGTCTCAGCAAATAAACAAACGTAAGATATAAAGACACCCCAGATGAAAATTTTGGAACTGACAAATTTCAATAATTGAAATAAATACCTCAACAGATGGGCCCAACAGCAGAATGAAGACTGCAGACGAAAGAATCATGAAATTGAACTCAGAAGTATAGAAATTAGCTAATCTCAACAAGAGGGAAAAATAGACTGGAAAAAAGGACAGCATCCTCAAGGACTATAAAAACATACCTAACACTCATGTCACTGGTGTCCCAGAAGGACCAAGAGAAAGTATTCAAAGAAATGAGGGCTGAAAACTTCCCAGATTTGGCAAACGATATAAACCTACAGTTTCGGGAACTGGAATGAACCACAAACAGGACGACAACCGTAAAACCAAACCCATTACTCTCAGTCAATTCCAACTCACCGCGACTACATGTGTTACAGAGCTGACCTGCTTCCTAGGGCTCTCCTGGCTGCTAGGCTTGTCTTCTGCGATGCCAGTCGGTGGTTTCCCACTGGTCGCCCGCTTAACCATTGGCACCACCCAGGGACCTACAAACAGGATAAACTCAAAAAAAAAATCCTCATCCAGAAGTATCATACTTAATCCTCGGAAAACTAAAAACAAAGAAAAGAACCTTGGAATCAGTGAGAAAGCCACGACATCTTTCCTCCAGGGGTAAACAAGTTGTGATGCCAGACTTATCATCTGAAACCACGGAGGCCAGAAGGAAACGGCACAATTTTCAAGTACTGAAAAAAAAAAAAATAACTGTCAACCCAGGATTCTACATGGAGCAAAAATATCAGTCAGGAATGAAGGGGAAAGCAAGACATTGTCAAGTGAAGGAATCTGAGAATTTGCACCAGCAAACCTACCCTGAGAGAACTGCTGAAGAAACTTCCCTAAACAGTAAGGAAAAGATAAAAGGAGGAGTCTTGGGACATCAGGAAGGAAGACAGAACGAAAAGAGTGAAAACTTGGGTCAATAAGTAGTTTCCCTCTCCAACAGTGTGTCATAAAGCAGTTGTGCGCGCGTCCCTGTCACTATCGCTAATCTCACAACACTTTACATAAAAGGAAATTGAAGCCTATAGAGTTTATTTACATGACTCGTCCGAGACCGTGCTTGTAGAGACAGTTAAAACCAGATTTATATGGATCAAAAATTCGTGCTCTTTTCCCCCAGACACTCAGGGCTGAAGGCTGGAGAGATGGCTTCTCGGAGAAGGCGGTACACAGACCAAGTCTCACTGCGTGAGAAGAGCCAGGACCAAAACTCAAGTCGACAGTCCCCCAAGTCAGGGCACGCTCGGAGCGCCCAGGAGCGAGGCGATAACTCCCGCCGTCCTCCCGACCGCCATCCTCCGCTTTGGCCTTACCTGGCTGCCCGACCAATCTCCGTCCGGCTGCCCACACCCGGGATTCAACCCTTTCCTTAACCCCCTTCCACTGTCGCTAAAACTGAGAGCGGATCCGTGCGTCATCAGCCGTCGCCGGAGAGTTGTCACATGACACCCCGCCCTACTCTCCGCCCCTTTGCTCATGTGATGGTCAGGGGAGGCAGGGGCGGAAACGTGGCGGGTCTGGCTTGCTATCCTAGACTGGAGATCGAAGGGGACTTCAGTATAGGGGGAGGGCTGGGGACCGGGGTGGCGATTGGGCGCGCGACCGCTGGCCCAGCACGAGCGCCGCTGGCGCGGCCCTAGTGACAGGTGAGTCGGGCAGGGCGAGCGCGCCCCCTCTCTGTTCACGATTCCCCTTCCTCTCATGCGCCCCGGTGCTGGGCCCTCTGGCCGGGGGGGATCTGCGGCTTCGAGTGGAGTCTGAAGGGAGGGCCTTGGGACATAGGACTGGGAGGCCTCTGGGAACCTGGAGCTCCAGACCAGGCTGTTCCTTTTCACTTTGATGGAAAAAACGTTACACATCCCTTTGGCGCTTTAGGAAGCGATGTTCGCCTGCTTGGCTCGATCTGATTCTTCCAAGTTCCCGGGAGCAGTGCCGTGCGGACATCCTTCTTCAGTTCTCCACTCTCAAGAAAAATGAGTGGTTGGTGAGGGCTTTTACAGTCTGACGGACCCGGATTTGCGTTCTATTTCTGTGATGGATTGTGAGTTGGGCGAGTCATTGCGCCGCTCTGCATTCTCATTTACTCACCGGTGATATAGTAGTGCCAGAGTCTTGTCCTTTGCATTTCGAAAAAAGAATTCCAAGGGTCCTGATTTGTCTGTGGTCTCACAGTAAAAGACTTAGTGGTAGAGCCAGCAATAGGACCGGGTCTCTTCATTCCAGGGGCGCTCTGTCCAACGAAGGTGATTGGGAAGTGGAAAAGGGAGGGAGAAGTTTTACTGCCTCTGCCCACAGTGAGGGACGCGATACCGTTTTCCTTCATCTGTCTTCCCAGAATTCGAGAATCGGACTAGAGTGATCAAGGTCATTTCTGAAAAAGATCTACCGGTCACTTTTATCTCGGTCAACAACCGCTGTATTTTGTTCTTGATAATGAATTTGTGGAAAGCAGTGCTTCCTTCTTTATAGAACTGAGGTTTTGTGGAATGTTGAAAAGAGACCTGTCTTCCTCTGTCCTCTGAGTAGGGTAAACACTGGTCTGTCCCAGAATACTTTCATTTCCTTCCTAATTTTGGTTCTGGGCTCATAGAATAACTGGTGTGAGGATGCCAAGCTTCTCTTGAAAGCCTGCTTACTGTCTTTTGTCTAGGATGACTTTCCAAACTGAAAATCACAGCTTCATGCCAAATTCTTAAACATAAAGTTACAACCTCTTTTCTGGGTAACTTGTGGAAAAAAAAAAAAAAAAA